GCGACGGGACCAAGTGTAACTCGCTGGAACCCAGTCGGGACCGACTCAGGGACCACTCGCGACTGGGTGGGACCCACAGGGACTCAGCGAGACCCAGCGCAAAACCCACGGGGACGCGACGGGACCGAGTGGAACTCGCTGGGACCCAGTTGGGACTGACTCTGGGCCCACTTGCGACCGGTGGGCCCAAACGGGGACTCAGCGAGACCCAGCGCGACCCCCGGGGACGCGACGGGACCGAGTGGAACTCGCTGGGACCCAGTTGGGACTGACTCTGGGACCACTTGCGACCGGGGGGGACCCACAGGGACTCAGCGAGACCCAGCGCGACCCACCGGGGACGCGAGGGGGACCGAGTGGAACTCGCTGGGACCCATTTGGGACTGACTCTGGGACCACTTGCGACTGGGTGGGACCACAGGGACTCAGCGAGACTCAGCGCGACCCCCCGGGGGACGCGACGGGACCGAGTGGAACTCGCTGGGCCCCAGTTGGGACTGACCCCGGGGACCACTCGCGACCGTGTAGGCCCCACGGGACTCGCGAGACCCGCGCGACCCCCCGGGGGACGCGACGTGACCAAGCAGAACGCTTAGGGCCCCCGTTGCGACCCACTCAGGGACCGCACGCGACCTGAGGGGACCCACAGGGACTCCAGTGGGACGCATCGGGCCCCGTTGGAGCCCCAAGGGGACCCGAAATTACGATTTTGGCCGTAAATGTTGCAGAATTACAAAATTACGGACGTGATTCGTAGAGAATTTATCGTTAAATGGCAGTAAAAGTACGAATTTTTCTGACCGTGCAGGGCAACCAGGGAAGGGAGAAAGGACAAACGGGAGATTCCAGCTCATTCCGAGAGAGTCGCGCTCTGTCTCTCTCGCACCTACAAGGGACGCCCCATGAGGGCGAGAGAGACAGAGCGACGAAAACGACTCTCGGAATCAGTCTGCTGCCGGCCCCCGTGCGCGCACACTGTGCGATAATGCTGTAGTGGTGCAAGGTCAGCCCATCTGGGTCGTCCATCCTAGTCCGTCCTCCCCATCCCCTCCCCTCCCACTCACTCTCTCTCACTCTCCCTTTCTCCTTCTTCCTCTCGCAGTGCATCATCATACCGTCATCTGGTAATCGGACTTGGTGAATGCCTGCCTCTGCACCATGCCGGTGACGACAGCGGCATTCCGAACAGCAGTCGCTCTGTCTCTCTCGCACCCCACGGGACGCCCACGAGTGCGAGAGGGGACAGAGCGAGGCTATGCAGGCCGACGAGGGGCCGCGGCCACGACGCGGCAAAATGGGGTGGCCAACACGTTGACGGACGCCTTCACGGTTACCCCAGAAACCCAGCAGCAGCCGTACGCATCACCGCGCGCCACACGCCCGCCTAGCCTAGCGCCTGGACTCGTGCCCATCGGTTTGCCATCAGCAGACCCACCGGAAACGCGGCCCCGCCCCAAAACACACACACACACACACACACACACACACACACACACACCCCCCACACCACAAACCTCGCACACACACGCTCGCACACGCACACACACACGCACAAAGTAAGTTACACATGCAAACAGAGGCTGCGTGCGCCGTTCATTACCCCCTTTACGAGTTCGCCCTGCATCGCGGGGTAGCAAAGGTCATCGCGCCGATGATGCGGGCCGCCTAGGGCCGCCGCGGTGCACAAGGTGGCACTTCTTGGCCACGTCGCGTCAGGGCGTTTCTGATTTCGGAGGGACAAGGGCGGATCCAGAGACGGTTTCAGGGGAGAGTCGTAGCAAAAGTGGCCTACGGGGGTGAAGTGCGGACTTTTTGCCCACCTTCCTGGTCACTTCACCGCAATCCTCCTGCCCCCCCCCTCCCCCCCGGATTCTGGGCCCCTGCTGAGGGAGGGCCAGAAGGGCGGGGGCAGGGTGCCTCGGGGGCGAGCCAAAGTCAGGACGTCCCCACCGCCGCGGGGGACAAAAGCTTTATATGCTTTGTTGCGGCCAGTGACCCAGATTCGGGAAAAAAGGGGTGCGGATCACCAGCACCACCAGTAGTAGGCACGTCTGTACACACACACACACACACACACACACCCCACCTACACACACAAACCCCCACCTACACACCTACACACAACCCCCACTC